TCACTTACCATCCTCTACATAGACCCCGTCGAACATTTCGACCACTTGGTGGATTCGAAACGCCAGATCCCGCAACGAAACTCAGTATACGTGGCATCAACACCGATATCGCATATATCAGCCCGGTCTACTTCATTCCCCAGGCCTCGACAGACTACGTCAACCTATTCTCCCAGTACTCCAAGGTCGTTCCACCAATGAACGCAGCCCTGCTCATGGGACCCAAAGTCAAGATTGAGACATAACCTGATGGTTCTGTACAACATGATTCATCAAAACGCCCACTGCTATTTGCCCTCCCTAGAACTACAACATAGTTCGACAAGGGAGCTACTCAATAAGGAGTTTACCCAGAGTGTACCCAGGGGCAGGGTAAAAATGGGGTTTAACCTTTTCCTTATTAAATGTGCTGTTCTGTAAAATAAACTCCTGGTCACAATCAGATCGTGTGCGAGCACAACGGCCTTTCACGTTTAGCTCAGAGATTACCTTGACTTGATCAAGATTATGACCCTGTTGTCTTGGGTGAGAGCACTTGATGATGTCTACCAAGAAGGACCAGGTAGCATCTAATGAGTAACACGATTTTCTTACTGTGTGACATAACCCTAGTGCTGTTACCAAGCACTATTCCAACTAGTGCTTATTGCGTTGAAACACAAACTCTTGAAACTGCAAAAGCAATGAAAATCGCATAAATATTTAACATTCATGCATGGGTATGAGATATATTGTAAAATATGATCTATGCCAAATATGGCCCCAGTGTCTCATTCGTTGAGAAATATACATATTATTATTATTATTCTCCAATCAAGTTTACCTTCTCAGTGAATAATGCATACGGTCTCCCAGGCTTATTTAAGATGAATTTGTATTATCGTAAAATTTTATTTCTACCTGCTTTACAAATTTCCATTGGCTCCCAGTTTCCAGCTAGTAACTGACGGGACAGCGTCAACAAGGTTCCCTTATTGCTTAATATATCCTTGAAACCGATGGAGAGCATGTGATTTCGAAAGTGCTTGAAAGCAACCTATTGGTTTAGTTGGTGAGGTACTTTTTGCCAATGAAACAAAAGCTTCATCAGACCAAGCGATTGGTGTAGGTATCGTAGCGACGTGCGGAGCTCATGGCAATGACAAAGATATAAATGCAAGGGTTATCGTGTCACTTCAAGTGGTGCGCTAAGGATGAAACGGTCCCAAATGGTTCACATTTGCGAAGTTATCGCACGTAAGCCCCTGACAGCGATCGGTGTAGTGATGGTTTGGCGTCCAGTCTCTGCCCCTCGATCCGTCCGTCAATTCTCCACAGAATGGCCGGGTTAAGGTAGCCCGCCAAACACTCGATAGCTTCGTACCATCCATACTGCATGCGCAACCGTTAGCCTTAATGATTCCCTGCACTTAAACAGTCAGCCTATGGGTGTTAATCGCAACCTCGTCCATAATGACCTCCAAGTTATCCAATTCGATTCCATGCAGTGACTAGCACATGTGATCTTTTCGTATTCACCCTTCTGGCGGCGGTCGAGACATGCGCCTCTTGTGTTTTGCTAACTTCTTGCACAGCTCTCTAGCGGTTTGGCCTGTATACACATGTACATACTCATTTCAGCTGTTTTCAGATCATTAACCGTCCTTTCTGTTGGAATTAAGTCTTACATAGGTTCCACGATCGTTATCGCTGATACCGCGCTGTCGTTTAAGTTGGCGAAATACAGGCCATACCTCACTGCTGATTTGGCTGAACATATCTTGCGGTATATTTTGCGCTTATTCCAGAGGGATATGCTGCGTTTGTTTGCATAGCCATCATTGTCATTCTCGTCATCAACAATAGCCATATCTCAGCCATTTGAACTGATGCTCCGTTGCCGTACAACCAGAATAAGTTACGAAACGAATAATAATAATAATAATATTGAGAGTACGGAGACCTAGCGCGAAACCTTAAAGCCCTAAGTAAAATTAGGGGTTAAGGCGTTCATACCTTCTCAACAACATATCATCACAAGCAGCTGGCTACCGTGAAAAGGAAAGACGACATCTGCGAGAGAACATCCTCATAACTTTCACTGCTCCGTGTCCTATACAGTCATTAACCCACAGGTAACTCAATTTCAAACACACTTTACCCAGCTAGTCCGACAACAACCGCAGACGCGCCACTGATGCCGACTGCAAATCACTTATCGTAAAGTCTCGTGCTAAGTACGTGGACTTAAGACTGGAAGGTGAGACGGAAAACTGCACCCAGTTTCGCAGTCTATGACTTCATTTCCAGCTGCCGAGTTAACTTATGATCACATCGGGCCTTTCGCCACCCTACATATGGCAGACAAACAGGGCCCTTCTCCGTAAGCATTGACCGGTCATACGTAGCACGTACGCAAGCCAACGCAGTTAATCTCTCATTCTAAGGAACTAGCCTAAGTATCACTAGCTAAGTATCACCACCTTGCAGTCGCCAGCGCACATCGTGGCGGACACACTGGTGCTATCTGACACCAGCAATGCTTCGCATGCAGCGATCGTCAAAGGCCTGAAGGCGCCTCAGTACTTCAGATCGAAGGGACCAAGTCTCACTCTTATTGAGTAGGACAACTGTGGTGCACATGACCTTTCAGACCGAGCGAAGACCTCTTCTGACGCCACAGATGTCGCAGATACAAGAAAGCAGTCCTAGCTTCTGCAATACGTGAACTGACTTCGGTGCCTATACTCCCTTCGTTGCTGATGCAGCTGCCTAGGTGAATGAATTGATCAGTTAACTCAAGTTCTTCGCTATCAGGGGTCAAGGGGTCATCTAACAGCTGGTGGTCCTGCAACAACCCTAGGTGCGAAAAGCACATTAAATGGCGGGATCACTCTGGAGATATTGTTCAGGATTAGTTGGACCGTCCCAATGTCGTTAAACATCAATGCAATGTAGTCCATATAAACAAGATCAACTGGCTTTTCGCCAGGCAGCCCCTCAACGTTTACATCTTGCGGATCCGAAAGGGAACACTCCATGATGCAGTCCACGACGAAGTAGAACAAAAATAGGAAAATTGCGCAAGCCTGAGAAACCTTAATTGCTGTCGTATGTATATGTGATAAGTCACCGTAGACCCCTCTCCCGCCTGTGGTGTTCGAGTACAGGGCACTTGAAAAGGTCAGATATTTCATGGAAGCACATTTCGGCGCGTTTTTCGAGCAGAATGGGTTAGTCGACTGGGTCCAGAAGTCCAGAAACATAACCATTCTCTCTTTACCGTACTTATGACTGCTCGAACACTTGCTGCAGAGTGAATTTGTGGTCTATACAGCCCTGTCTTGGGCAGAAACCTGCTTGCTTGCGGGGTTCCCGTTCCGCAATGAGGCGAGAAATGAGAATTGAGGTGCACATGAGTAGGGGAATTTTAGATATTCACTTCAGAGTCCGCAACATCAGATTCCAAACCACATAGCCCTTCACATGCTCAGAGAAGCACTAAACTGCAGTTTCAACCTTTTGGACATAATCAGTAATTCGCATCCATCGGATCTGTCAGGGTTAGAACCCATGACCATCAGTGGCTTGCAGCACCGGTTCGATTCCTGACGGATCCGATGAACGTGCACTACTGATGATGCCCAAAAGGTTAAAACTCTAGTCTAGTGCTTTTCCGGGTATGTAGAGGATTATATGGTATGGAAGAAGGTGTGACAAAATCGCAGTTAGGACTTTCATCACCACCCGCGTTAGGCGCAGTTAGTATAACAACGACGTTGAAAGTCGTCAACCCTAGTTTCGGACACGTCACTTACGGCCATATCAAGGGAGTCCAAGGTGCGTACGAGTGCAGCCTGTTCACCCACTTATCTTGTAGTGAGAACCTTGAACGCCGCCAAGGAACTGGGACGGCATGGCCTTCTCAAGGGCTGTTGTCGATGGGAATCCAGTGGTTGGCCAGGGTAGATTGCTCCAGATGGTATAACTGTAGTAGCATCACGAGTGCTGTCAAGAAAACTGGGGATTATTGACTGAATTTTGGTAATGGGGTCGGCAGGGGAGTGAGAGAAACAGGTGGAAACGTTGGAGTAGAGGCATCGTTAGTAGCATGTGTTCGCTTAGCGGGCTTGCTGTATGCAACAGACAAGGCGGTTCTCGACAAGTTGCTCGACAGCCGATGCAGGGTGTAGTGGAACTTAGAGGAAATAGTCGTGGTTGTACGTGGGCTGATACTTCGGCTCCCAAACTTAGACAGGAAAATGATTATGATCCTCAACCAAAGTCTGGTTCGAAAAGCTGTCCGCAAGGCAGCGGATGTGGCAACCATTTGGTTTTACAAAAATGGAGGCCGTCCGATATCAAACTTTCACTCTGGAGGACCAGGAGAATAAGTTTGTCTGACCTCTAACCATTGGCCAACCTGGTAGGAGTAGCTCACAACGGGTAGGAATAATACAAAAACCGTCGAACCATCTTAGGGTTTAGTCTCATTGTGATGGATCCAGTCTCGTGTTTGGGTGTATATTATGCTAGTACTGAAAGACTGCATACTCAGCAGATGTTGCCAATTTGTTTTCAGGCCTAAGAGGGACTGCTAATCATGGCAGGTGGACAGGGGTTCGCAGTCTTCGTGATTTTACTGATCTAGTATGGTGACTGAAGCCTGTAAGGAGCCACCGTACAGCCACCGCCCAGTGTTCGTCCACTCCTTAGCTAGTCACCAACAATGGGCGTTTTGGCTCATCCTGGACAGAAGTCGAATCAATTTTGCCCCATATCTATACTCCTCCCAAGGTTTTATCTTTGGGCTCAATCCAGGTGATGGGGGCATCGATAAACCTGGGGATGGTGCTGCACAAGTCACCTATGGTTCCACCGTAGGAAAAGGCATCCGGTGGATACTGGAAGTGATAGCGAAAGGATGTAAACGGCCGCAGACCATATTTGCACGAAATAATCATCACAATTGTCCAACACATAATAGTTTCATAATTTCATGTATATTACGAGAAACTTACAGGTTCTTGTGCAAACGAGACGATCTACAAATAAAAAGTAAAGAAAGATGTAAACGACCCACAAGTGATGAACTCAACTGTTTGAGCACAGACAACACATGACAAACATGGTGATGAACATGAAAAAATTGAAATGCGCACCACTTACTTAACTCTCAATGACCAAACATGATCATACAGATTACAAGTTCGCTATTTTGATTTGGCATTCCATTGCTTGCAGACACTGTGCTGGTCAGCTACATAACTCCGCAGCTATTTACTCATATAGAGTAGCAATTTGGTGTACTCTACTCATATAAATGCCATCAAAGCATACAGTTAGACAAGTGCGACATCAAACATGTTGCTCAGGCGATCAGCTAAGGATTGTACCTATACCAAGATTATCAACGTGGATATGTTGGGTAAGGGAGACAAAAAGCTTCACGCTATTGGAACTGATGATCACTATTGGATCTGTGATTCATAGCCGACAAGTGTCTCAGATGCAGCAGAAGAAAGAGAACCAGGTTCCGGTAGCAACGTTTGTAAGATGTTCGAGAACAGTGCAAGGTATGCTGCGAAATCTCTCCACTCAGGATTGAAGCTAGATAGGACACACTACCACAAATATCAGGCACAAATTGTTTCGTTTCAGAGCCTTGGGATAGGGTAAGTTCAGAAAGAAAGTCATCAGCAGTACGCCGGTATGCAATACTGATGATTCGCTACCACGAAACCACCACTGGTCATGCTTGGGACAAGGATACTGCGATGGCCACCGGGTCCTCTACGGAGGATCGAATCGGTAACCTCGGGTCTACAAGGCAGGAACATGATGCATTCGGCCATCGGTCGGCAGAGTAAATCCAGAACAAACAAATATTTTGTGATACAGAGCCGAGTTACTACTGTGCCTTAGGCTCCTTCCGATGCGCCTGAGTACCCATCATATCTGGCTCTGTTTGACGTTGTAGACAATCCTACCTGCTTACCTTTGTCTTGAAAGCATTCTGTGCACCCCTACTACTTTCAGCGTGTAAAACGTGCATGAAGGTTGTCTGAAATCATCTTCTCCCCCATCGAATATTTCCCATACCTCTACGCATAGTCGGAAGCCTACTGAACCCGTTGACATCGCATCCCAATGGTTTGGTACTAAGTGCGGATCGTCCCTTTCCAACAAAAGTATATGCGATGAGTTGGCATTAGTCAGCTTCCACTCGAATTTCCACATGCATGTCGACCGTGTTGCTGACCTTGGCCTTAGGAAGTAGAAGCGGATAACATTGGCTTCTCGTTTTCGCTCTCGACATAAAGCAAGTACATCTTAACAAAGTCTTTAAAGACGTGGAAATCTCGTACTTTATTCGCAGTGGGTCTGGTCGTCGGAATAATGTGAACTCCAGAAATTGTGTTGAAAAATAGGAGTGGATGATGCAGTATGACTTCAGAGACTGTTGGTGCTAACTGATTTGAGCTATGGGGTTCAAGAAGCAACCTAGTTGACCGCTGACCTCCGATGGGTCGAATTGGGCTCTAGCTTAGTCATGGAACGCCCTACTTGTGACCCCCAGTGATAGCCAGTAAGGGCATCTCGTAGTTCATCAGAAACCGCCCGCATTGTCTTGAGTAACAGATACCTGAGATATCAGATGGCAGAGCGTTGACAGGATGATGAGTCACTCCCTTCCGCCTATGGAATGAAGTATGCAATTGACGCTTGCCTACTCAAATGCTTAAGTACCGGTTTCGTCTAATCGATCGGTCGCCTGCACAGAGTATCACTCGGGACTCGCACTCCTGGATGCGAAATGTCGAACTGGTAAAGATATTTGCATTAATTGGGGAGTAGACCACTTGGTCCATTGATACAGGCATTCGAACATTTCTCGAAAGTTTCCGTGTTCTAGACATCAAGAACGACAGATAAGGGACGTGGAGCATTCAGTGGTGCGGTACAGGATAACAGGCGTGGTGTAACCGTAGACACGAAATACGAAGTGAGGGAATCTGAGGCAGTCAAAATACAAGTAACCAAATTAATCAACCTCGTTAGACGAAAACTATATAGACACTGTGAGCGTACCCATTCTGTTAGGTACAATGAGGATAGGAAGATAACTTCAGCCTCCGTGGCTGACGGTATCTCATGCGAAAAAAGGAAAAATTGTCTAACGGCATTAACTTACCAAAAGTCCGAACAGAGAAAAAGCACAATGCAGTCGCATTGTCTAATCGGTGCAAAGCACCCACCGTGCGGCGACGATTTATCGTGCTCTGCCTCGCTTGAAGCCCAGTTTTCGGCCAACTGCAGATAGGGCAGCGTGGGATGCAACGATTGATTGGTTAACGGCACATCGCAATTCACGAAAGTGTTTTTGCCAAATCGATAGAAGCCGGCATTTGCGACCTGTACGATTGATTGAACCGTGTTGAACGCTAAACTATGATCCGCACAGTCGGTTTAATGGGCTACCAGATGCCATCAGGCTTCGGATAGACTACATATTGGCTACAGTTGGATAAAAGTTTCACAGGCGCGGCAGTGTAAAGAACGTGACACTTATTCACGGTATTGGTGTAGATCTTGATCATGTTGCGTTTTATAACCAGCATAAGTCTGGCCTTTTTGACTATGTACCACCAACGAAAGCTCAACTAAGCATGTGCTTTCGCGTCCGGTAGTGGACGATTCTTCTACCGCCTTTAGCGACCAAAGTATGCAAAAACTGGCGAAATAAATGTTGAACTCGTGTCATGCAACCTTCTTAATCTATAAAAACGTTAAATAGTGTAATGAACTCTGAGTTTTGCATCTTTGTTTCGACGTTGCGTTGACGGGCGGTTTTCAGCGAACATATAAGCGGCACACATAACCCGAGTACAGCCTAGTGGTAGCGCGCTAAATTGTCGGCCTTGCGGCCTCGGTTACAAATCTGGGTGTGCCCCTTTTACTCGCTCCGGCGGTGCATATACTAAAATGGGAACTACACAGAAGATTGCGATGGCCAGTGAGCTGCGTGTTGTGGCTAAGCTTCAGCAAACGGTGGCTTACGTGGTTGGGGTCAGTCAATATCTGATAGGCTAACGCGAGATCGCCGCGCAACCTTCGATAGCGTCCGCTGAAAATTCCCAGCAACTTCAGCCTTCAGTGGTAAGAGTGATAGCGCAGGCCCTTTACACTCATTGATGCTCTCCGTTGTGGTGCCTCTAATGCCTCTAGGTCGCGCTTCAACCAAGATTGCCAAGTTTAGATAGCGTATTCAACATGCGAGCGCAAGTAGAAATTGTGCGTCAATGGGAAGATTGATGGGTCAAATATCCCTTATGACCTTCGCAGCATGCCGATATGCTGGTTGCCTCTTTTCGCAGCTACCTCAGCCTGTTTTGAACAGTTGAGGTCGCCCTGTACGAGCACACCAAGACCACGTTCCTGGGAGCCGGTCGGCAATCTGTTGTCGCAAGTAACTATGTTTAGTCATGTCTATGGCGTAACTGCACTACGCGACATTTGCCCACGTTGAATGGTAGGGCGTTTTAAACTGACCAGTTCGATACCGTGTTAAGGTAGTAATGGAGCCGTTCTTGGTCCTCCGGTCCTCTGATCCTTCGCCAAATCTTACTATCATCAGAGAAAAATAGGAAGTCGGAAGCAATTGCTTGCCAAATCCTTAATGAACACCAAGAATAGACGAGGTCCAAGCACCGAGCCTTGTGGTACACCACGCACCATATTGATTACATCGGACAATGATTCTCGGACTCTCACTGCTAGCCGTCGTTCGTGTTGAAAATTGCTAATGCAAATCAGGATTGGGTGGTCATTGCCGTATTTCCGAATCTTCTGAGGAAGAATTCGATAGTATAAGCCATCAAATGCTTTTGAGCAGTCCAGGTAGATGACATCGACCTGCTCCATCATCGACAGCCTCAGCCCAGCTGCTACGTACAATCAATAGGTTAGTATTACATGAACGCTTTTGATGAAAGCCATGTTGCTCTGGGACTATTAAGTTGGGGCTTTCCAGATATTGCATTAACGCATCTGCGATGATTGGTTCCATAACTTGATAGTGCAGGCAGTAGTGTTATTGGAGGGTAGTTTGTAGGGTCAGTGCGGTTACCTCCTTTATGGAAAGGAGTGATGACCCCTCGCTTCCATACTGGTAGAATATGGTTCTCTTCTAGACATGGCTGATGGAAAATAACCAGTGGTGCTGCTAGATAACTAGCTACCTCCTGCAGAGTCTTTGGTAAGGTGTTGTCGACTCCAGGAGAACTGTGGATACGCAAGTATAACAACTTCTTCATCACAGCTTCCGCAGTAAAGGTGATGTTGTTTAAACCCAAACGTAGCGTAATAGAAACGAGGAGAATATTTGGGCTCGTTACCTGCTGGAAAGTTTGGCAGTATTGAAGCCGTAGGAGACCGGCTGCTTCCATTGCTGGTCGCGTGCACCCATCAGCCGGGAATAGTGCTGGAATCCTTCACTTCACCTTTCGAAGGTCGTTAACGTGCCTATACAGCAGATTGCGGTCCGTGCAGAACCGCTTTATTAACTCCTGCTGACGCGTGGCCTTGTCTTCGCGGATCAGTTTCACACAGAAGTTACGATGTGTCCCGCATGAAGTCCAGGTTTCGGCATTCAAGCAATCCTTGTGAGCTCGCCATGCACAATCCATGCAGGACATCCATTTGCGTGTCCTGCTCCTCAGAAATGACTTATGCTTGTTTTGAGATTGGAAGGACTTCTGTTCCGACGGGTGCCCTACCAGTGTGCTAAACATCTTTTTAAAGATTTCCCAGGCACCCTCTGGGGGGCATTCGGTTAAAAAGTCCAAGATGTATCCTTAACAAGCGTAGATAGCAGGTTATAGTGCGTGATAGTATGCACCTTATCATCCTCCTTTTATGGATACTCCGCATGGCATATATAGTCAGAGTAGAGTAACATGGTCACTACGATCCAGTGGTGTGCTTGTAACTATCCCGTCGACTATGAATTCTTCGTTGATGAGCACAAGATCGGGTATCGACGGCTTGTTAGTAGTTCGAAATTTGGTGGGAGAAGTTACGTGGTTGTACAGAGGGTGGCTAGAAATTAGCTCTTGAAAGCAGGCTTTAAACTACGTACCGTTGGGTGCTGAACTTGTAAGTTGTGCAGGTTAAAGTCGCCACCCATAAGAATGTGGGTGTAGGACTTGTTCAAAGCCAACTGAAAGATATGGTTCAGTTTGGAGTCCCTTTCCGACGTAGAGTTTGGTGGGCTGTAAATTACGGCTAGTAGACATGTGTCTTCTTTCCGCAACCATAGGCTGCACCAAAGCAAATCACGAGCGCAGATTTCCTGGTGATCGATAACTTCACGTCGGAGATTTGTATTATAATAAAGAAGTGCACCACCACCGCTTCCGGTTCTATCGTTCCGAAGCAGCGACATACCGGGTAAATTCGTCGCAGAATCGGTTATCTCGGGGTTTAGCCAAGTCTCTGTAATCACGAGGAGGTCCCGCGGTTGTGAGACACAGGGTTCTCTAAGTTCGGTCAACTTACTTACAAGGCCTTTGGCAATTGTTTACATACAAGATACGGTTTTTGTTGTTAGGAGTGCGTTGACGGATGTCAACCTTGTGTTGTTTTTAAGCCGGCTGTTAGGTGGTCGGCCTTAATCATATTTGCTTAATGGATTTCAGTCAAATTGCATGGAATTGTTGAGCGTTCCTGAACCGAAGTTTCACTCGGGCTGTGCTCTGTTCTGTTGTGTGCCGTGGGCGCTGTTGTGTGTGCAAATAAAGAGTTTGTAGCGTTTGCAAGTTCCATTGAATTTTTTCCGACTTTTGGCCGTTCGCCTGCTGCCTTTAGCTGGATCTCTGTTGGCAACCTAGCTCGAAACTTTAACCAGCTATCCAACTGGACTTGCGCCATTCCCTCGGAGTGTAGTATCACTTTAATTAGCCTTGGACCACAGCCCTTGTATTTAGGTGATGACGGAACTCTTGTCAGGGATTTGGCAAGAACATTGTCAATAGAGAGTGCTTCGCGGATGTATCACCACTGCTGTAGATCATGTGTTTGTGCATCGTGATCAGAAGAATGCAGAAGCATGGGAACACCACGAACAAATATAGGTTTCTTGCTATCCCTATTAGGAATTCCGCGTTGCTCAACTGCTTCTTTTGAACGATCTTTCCAAGGTATATCAAGTAATTCGCAAAATCCACTCGGTGAGTTGCGAAGACGAACTGCTCAGAGCAGGACAGCCTCTGTCTCAGCTGCTGAGTCTAGTCTTACTCGAAGAATTCGTGGTTCACCAGAGTGCACTGAGGTCGGGGGACGCGCTACACGTTGCAGCATTGCAGGCTCAACCCGAATACCAGTGGCCTCGCAGATGGAAATCCACTGGCTGCGATCGTCTTTTCACTTGCCTTTTATCGTGCCAGATTTGGATTCGGGAACATTGGTGTACACGGGAGTTAGCGCAGCGTGGTTTTGTCTAGGGATTGTCGGCTTTATAATTTTTGTCGGCAATTTAGGCTGTTTAGAAGGCACCACTGGATTTGACGGTGAAAACTGCGTTGCTCCACGTTTGCTCAGGGCAGTAGATGGACCTATGTGTGTCGCCACCGGTGTTTGTCCAGGCAGCCGATGCGTACTTTATCTGCTTGTTGTGTGCACCGGATTGCTTTCGGCTCTGAGCTGTCGGTCTCCTGGCTGAATCTCCAAGTGAAAGGTCTATGATTGTAGAAGTGGTGGCAGGTATGTTTGAGGCTTGTCAACTTATGGGAGTGAGGTGACCCAGTGGATTTAGAGACAGACGCTGCAGTGCCATTGGAGCGTCAAGTTCTTTTTCGGTTTAAATTCGGGGCTTACTTCGGCTGGTTGAAGTATTTACCTCCGTTGGATCGATCTTAGTATTTACAATATGCGCGATTATCTCAGTCATCCTATTGCACTTTTTCATGAGAAAGATAAACAGTTGACAACTGGTATGACTTGCTATGTTTGACAAAACCAAATTGTGTCAGCAACTTTGTTTGTCTGTCTCACCTCTTGAACGGATTTGCTTACACATTGCGGGCAGTACTATCTTATGCAGTTAGAACAGGTTACTCCGAGCTTACGGACTTGACTGCAATTGGCTACACAACATAGGCGACGTTGGACCATTGGAATGCTAGTCGTCTGCTTATCGTTTGCAGTAAAACATATCTGAACGCTCACCTTGAT